GTCCTTCATAATGGACACTACGATTCTCAAACATGGCTGGCATCTGGACTCCATTTGGTTTTGAGTTGCCCTGGCAGTAGGACAATAAAAAGCACTTCCACTGCGGTCCTCCTCCTCCTCCTTTTATGACAGTATGGTCACTTTATCTCTGCACTAAAGAGGATAGGGAGATAACCGCTGACAGTCTCCCTCCCAACCTTGACCCCCACCCACCTGTTCTATCCCTGCACTGGTAACCAGATTCTTAATTTTGTACATATCTTTCTAGAGATGCCTTAGGTATACACAAGCCAATGTTTGTTACACAAAAGGCATACACATCATCAAGGTACCTTTTTTTCCATTTATTTTTTTTTTAATTATTTTATTTATTTGAAAGAGTTACAGAGAGACATAGAGAAAGAGAGAGAGAGAGGTCTTCCATCTGCTGGTTCACTCCCCAGATGCCCGCAACGGCCAGAGCTGCGCCAATCCAAAGCCAGGAGCCAGGAGATTGTTTGGAACTCCCACATGGGTGCAGGGACCCAAGGACTCAGGCCATCTTCTACTGCTTTCCCAGGCCATAGCAGGGAGCTGGTTAGTAAGAGGAGCAGCTGGGTCTTGAACCGGCGCCCATATGGGATGCCGGCGCTTCAGGCCAGGGTGTTAACCTGCTGTGCCACAGCACCGGTCCCACCTTTTTTTCCATTTAAAAGTCTGTCTGGGACATATGAGAACATATGGAGTATTTTTATTCATTTTTCCAGCTGTTTGATGTTCTACTTTATGGGTGTCATATAATTTATATTTCTAATCCCCTATTGATGGCCATTTGAGCTATTTCTAATATTTTGCTGCTATAATGCTGTGATGAATAACTTTATATATATATATATACACACACATATTTATTTTGAGAGTGTATCTGTGGAATAAACTAACAAATTGGAACTGTTGGGTGAAATATTTAAATTTAAATAGATATTTTAGAGGCCAGCACTGTGGCATAATGGGTAAAGCTGCCACCTGCAGTGCCAGCATCCCATATGGGCGCTGGTTCAAGTCCCGGCTGCTCCGCTTCCAGTCCAGCTCTCTGCTGTGGCCTGGGAAGGCAGTGGAGGATGGCCTAAGTGCTTGGGCCCCTGCACCCACGTGGGAGACTGGGAAGAAGCTCCTGGCTCCCGGCTTCGTATTGGCGCAGCTCCGGCCGTTGCGGCCAACTGGGGAGTGATCCAGCGGATGGAAGACTCTCTCTCTCTCTCTCTCTCTCTCTCTCTCTCTCAACCTCTCCTTCTCTCTCTGTGTAACTCTGACTTTCAAGTAAATAAATAAATCTTTTTTAAAAAAAGGATATTTTAAGAGTTATCTTTGTAGAACTTGTATCAGTATATTGTCTTACTTCCAAGGTTTGAAATGCCTGTTTTTTTCCAGTCTTGCCATGAGAATGTATTAGCAAACTTTGAATTTTTGTCAGTGTATTAAGTAAACATTTCTATTTTGGTACTTTATTTTGTATTTTATTCATTATGGGAAGAGGTCAAAAGTATTTTCTCATGTTTAAAATTCCTTTATATTTCTTGTCTATTCATGGCCTTTGCATACTTTTTGTTGGGTTACTTATTGACTTTTAGTGACTCTTTATATATTAAGGAGATTACTTGTTTTTCTATGAAATTATTTCCCCAGTTCATTATTTATTCTTTTTTTAAAGATTTTATTTATTTGAAAGGTAGAGTTAGAGACAAAGTGAGAGAGAGAGCAAGAGAGAGAGAGAGCTCTTCCATCCATTGGTTTACATCTGAAATGGCCAGAGCTGAGCTGATCTGAAGCCAGGAGCCAGGAGCTTCTTCTGGGTTTCCCACATGGGTCAGGGCCCAAGCACTTGAGCCACCTTCCACTGCTTTCCCAGATTATTAGCAGGGAGCTGGACTGGAAGTGGAACAGCTGGGCCTTGAACCAGCACCCATATAGGATACCAGCATTGCAGATAGCGTCCTTACCTACTGTGCCACAATGACAACCCTATATTATTAATTCTTTAATTTTAATTACGGTGTTTTTCTAAGCTTCCAAGTGTTTTTTCATGTGTGTAGAGTTGACTTTAATGATCTTTTATGGCTTTTGGATTTTGGGTTACAGAAGGCTTTTCTTATACAGGTTGAAAGGCATGTTCTTGTTTTTCTTTTAGTATTTTTAAATTTTTTTAAAGTTAAGTCTTATCTAATTGAAGCTAAACTTGTGAGACACGAGGATTGAATTCATGTTCATATTTGTCTAAATGGCTGTTTATTCCAATAACACTTATGTCATGGTGCACATTTTCTCCAGTAACTTGATCTGGCAGCTTTGTTATCTTATATCTATGTGCGATGTTGACCCCATTTCTGGATCTGCTGTTCTACTCTCGTAGTCCATCTGTCTATTTATATGCCAGTGTTGCACTAGTTTAATGACTGAGACTTCGTAACATCATTTAATATCTATGCTGATCCATATCCACAAACCTTGTTCTTCTTTTCACATTTTTTAGTTCCAACGTTTGCTCCTTCATTTTTCTGTATGAACTTATTGTAATTCAAAAAATCCTATTTGTAAAACAATTGTTGTATCACATTAAACCTTGAAATATGCATCATATACATGTATTGAATATCACATTGTACCTTCTAAATATGGTCAATTATAATGTCAATTAAAATTATTAAAGACTGCAACAAAAATTTTAAATTGAATTGTCGAGAATTGGCATCTTATATTGTGTAGTCCTATCTAAGAACACATTATATTATTACTTGCTTTAATTTTGCGGGGGGGGGAGTTCTGTTTAGTAGTGTTTTAGAGATTCTCTTCATATGGGCCTTAGTAAATAAAATACTGCTAAGTTTCTTTTCAGGTATTTAATTTTTTGTTGCTATTATAAAATAGGGTCTTTTCATCTATCCTATCATTCATATTGAGAAAATTTGATTTCCGTATATTAATTTTGCTCCCTACTACTTTATTGTGTTTTCTTATTGCTTATCATAGCTTTTTAGTTGATTTTCTTGTTTTCCACATATTTAGCTATATCATTTACAATATTTCCTTTTTTCCAATTTTTATACCTTTTTGTCTAATTTGACTAACACAAGTAAATTAGCAAATGCAGTGAAGTATTAAACAATGTTGATGTGATCATCTCATTTTTGTTTCAGAATTTAATAGAAATGCTTATAGGGTTTCCTCATTAAGTTTGATGTTGGCTTTGGGTTGATAAAGATTTTTTTCATGTTAAGGAAATATCTTACGGGGCTGGCACTGTGAAGGAGCTGGTTAACGCCCTGGCCTGAAGCGCCGGCATCCCATTTGGGCGCTGGTTCTAGTCCCGGCTGCTCCTCTTCCGATCCAACTCTCTGCTATGGCCTGGGAAGGCAGTAGAAGATGGCCCAAGTCCTTGGGCCCCTGCACCCACATGGGAGACCTGGAAGAAGCTCCTGGCTCCTGGCTTCAGATCAGGCACAGTTCCAGCTGTTGCAGCCATCTGGGGAGTGACCCAGCAGATGGAAGACCTCTCTCTCTGTCTCTACCTCTGTAACTTTGTCTTTCAAATAAATAAAATAAATCTTTTTTAAAAAAAGAAATTATCTTATTAATTTTTTATCAAGAATGTTTCATATGCCATTTGATATCTGTGGAAAAATTATGTGCTTTTCCTTTTGAAATCTATCTGTTATGATTAATTATGTAAGTTAGTTTTGTGATATTCAACAATCCCTGGACCCTGCAATATATCCCCCTTAGGTATGGTGATAATTTTTTATTGAGAGTTTTTAATTGTTGGTCATAAATTATACTGATCTGCAGTTTGTTTTTCTGTTGTACAGTATTACCACATTTTGGTATCAGTGGTATACCTGTTTCATAAAAAAATTTTAAATATTTTTCTATGGTTTGGAGCAATTAAAAACACTAGGATTATATTTGTATACATTTTTCAGAACTCCCTGTGTGAAGTTATCTGGGCCTGTTGCTTTTATGGGAGTAGGCAGCTCTGACAATTTTCTCTATTCCTTCCATACAAACTGGTCTCTATCATTTACCTCTCTTCTGGGGTCAATTTCATGTGCATGGCTCTTCTGCTATTTGGAAATCTTGGATTTTTATTCTTGTAGTTGCCTTTATAACTTTCTATGATGTTCTTCACTCTCCATTTCTTTTTTAAAAATTTAAAAAATAGGCCGGCGCCGTGGCTCAACAGGCTAATCCTCCGCCTTGCGGCGCCGGCACACCGGGTTCTAGTCCCGGTCGGGGTACTGGATTCTGTCCCGGTTGCCCCTCTTCCTGTCCAGCTCTCTGCTGTGGCCCGGGAGTACAGTGGAGGATGGCCCAGGTGCTTGGGCCCTGCACCCCATGGGAGACCAGGAGAAGCACCTGGCTCCTGCCATCGGATCAGCGCGGTGCGCCGGCTGCAGCGTGCCGGCCGTGGCAGCCATTGGAGGGTGAACCAACGGCAAAGGAAGACCTTTCTCTCTGTCTCTCTCTCTCACTGTCCACTCTGCCTGTCAAAAAAAATTTTTTTTAAATAGATTTATTTATTTATTTGAAACAGTTTGAGGGGAGAGAGAGAGAGAGAGAGAGAGAGAGAAATGTCTTCCATCTCTTGGTTCACTCCCAAGATGGCTACAACGGCCAGAGCTAGGCCAGGCTGAAACCAGGAGCCAGGAGCTTCTTCTGGGTCTCCCATGTGGGTGCAGGGGCCCAAGCACCTGTGCCATCTTCTGCTGCCTTCCCAGGTGCATTAGCAGGGAGTTGGATCAGAAGTGGAACAGCCAGGTCTCAGACTGGTGCTATAAGGGAGGCTGGCACTGCAGGCAGTGGCTTCACCTGGTATGCCACAGTGCCGGCCCCTCTGTCTCCATTTCTTTAGATAGCATCGATGACTTCCCTCTTATAAGATAAATAAAAATTAGCTTATATCCTAATAAACAAAATAAAATTAGCTTATATCCTAATACTTTATTCTTGAGAGCTTGACTCTTTCAACAAATCTCTGCTGCGTGTCGCCTGTGCTCCAGGCCCAGCTTGGCCTGGGGAAAGCAGAGACAGATCAGAGACACCACCTGCTCTTAGGCAAGCCGGGCAGACAGCGGGGACTCGAACAAACGGAGCCGAGAGGTGGATGCTATGGTCAGCATTTGTGCATTGTTAAGAAACACTTTGAGGACATGACTCTGGAGTGAGTCTCACAGGACGAGCCACGGCCACGAGGAGTTTTCCAGGCTGAGGGCCAGGTCGAGGGCCTGGAGCTGCCGTGCTGTCCCAGACTGTTGAGGGCTGGGAGTGAAGTGCACTCGCGGGCGAGATGGGCCCCGTGAAGCTCCAGCGAGGACGGCTGGCTTTCAGCTGAGCAGCAGGCATGGGCAGACAGATAGGACCTGGTCTTCCAAAGGGTCTCTGCTTTGGTTGTATGTCCTGCTGTTGCCATCTTGAAATTCCTGACCTTTTCATCTTTGAGTTTGTGTTTTGCAAACAAAGGCTGGTGGGGCAGTGGTACACACAGATATAGAGATATACTGGGTGCCAGCACAGGCATTTGTGGGCTCAGGCCTACCTGCCCAGAGCACGAGCACTCGCCTCGGGACAGAGCCACAGCCCCCCATGTCCCAGGGCAGCTGGGCCGGGCCCTGGGCCCATCAGGTCAGCTGGAGTCTGCATGGACATAACATGGAGATGCTCAGTAGGAAGCTGGCTTGCTTGTGCAGCCCCAGCCCCGGCCCCTGTGACGTCTGCAGAAACAGTAACGGTCTGGCCTGAGCGCAGGGCGGGCATTGCTGGCACTCAGGCAGGAAGTCGTGTCAGTAAATTATTACAAACCCAGGGATGCTGTGGTAAAGTGTACCAGGCAGGATTCGAATTCTTTGAAGAGCTTTGAATCTCTGCTTTCAAAAACTGCTGTAATATTGTAAAGCAAATATTTGCAAGCATAGAAATAGAAACGAAATATAAAAATCACTATATTAGATGGAAAAAAATGCTACTTTCAGATAAAACTTCAGAAAACCAATTGTTACCAAGGATGACAGTTTTCTTTCTTTGTCCCCCTTCCTACATTTCTATTTTATTATGGCAAAAGTGGAAACACCACCTTCTCCACATTTAGACCCAAAACAACCCAGTACAAAACAGGTCTATTTTGGAATGTTAAACAAACAAACCACCTTTGCCTGAGTTCTTAAATCCTATTTTAAAACATAAACGAAGGCAACCCATCCTTGACCACACTGACAGCAGGCGTCACCTCCTCTCGCCAGCCGCAGGGACAAGGCTGCCCGCTCTGTCATTGCCTGGGATCCAGTTTGGCGGTGTAGGCATCCAGCTGGCCATGAGACGCCAGAGCGGACAGTGGTGCTGGTGCCACCATCAAAACCCCCTGGGCCACAGCTTCTGGTCACGCCCGCCTTGGGCATGCTCGGTGCAGGTCTCTGCTGTGGGTCAGTCTGTGAGGTGACAAGCTGAATGCTCAGAGTGAAGCCATTTAGGGGGACGCCATTGAATCATTTCATGACATCTGCAGGAAGACAATATTAAAATCAAAATTCCCGGTGCGTCATGACGGCCGCGACGGTTCTCATTTACCACAACCGCATGGCAAGGAAGAGGCGAGCGCTCTTCCGTTGCAGCCTTCGCGGCAAGTGCTGTCACTGCTTATCCCTGAACTGCGGCTGTGGGGTGGGGGTGGGGGAATGGAGGGAGAGACCCGGCCTGAAGCCCACCCCAGAGCCTGCAGCTGGGGATGCGGAGGCTGCCCCAGGGAGGGGGGAGCAGGTGAGGGTGGGTAAACAACAGGGAGATGCACATCCAACTCAGACTGCCTGGGAGAGTTTTCCCCGAGAAACAGAAGCCCTCCCGGGGTGGGGGTGGGGGGGTGGATTACTAGATGGGTGCGCGAGAGCAGAGTTTTCCCTTTCTGCATTAATTCTCGGGCATCGGAAGACTCAAGTAGTCTCACATATATGTCATTGTTTTACGGGGGGACAGCTCAATAAAGACCTCTTCCTTGGGGTGTCAGGCTATTTATTAATCAAGTGGCACTTTCTTTTTGCAAATGTTTGTTGAGACCTGCTTGTTGCAAAGGGAACAGCGTGAGCCAAGGAAGAGACGTACACATCTGGGGTAGAAATGGCCAACTGCTGATATAAGCCGGGGGGTGGGGTAGAGCGGGGAGGGAGGCTGGAAGACAGGAGGGAATTAGGTCACACGGATCTGGCTAGGCGGGCCCTGTTTCAATGTACGTATCGAGGGAAGACAAGCCTGCAGCAAAGTGTATGAAGTGCATTAAGCTTAAGTCAACATTCCAAACAAAGCTTACATATGTAGGAACCCATATAATCACCACGCAGATCAAGATCTAGAACATTTCCATCGTTCCAGAAGGTTCCTTCATCTCCTTCCCAGTCAGTTGCCATCCCCAGAAGGAGCTACTACCTGGCCTCTATGAGTGCTCATCAGTTCCGCCTCTTCTTCAGCTTCATAGAAGGGGAGTTCTCGTACAATATATGCCTGTTGCACCTGGCCGCTGTCACTCAACATGGTGCTCATGAGCTGCCTCCCGGTTGTTACATGAGTCAGTTTGTTCATCCCATGAGCGAGCACCCCATGATGTGCTCCTTCACTCATCGCTGGGTGCCTGGGGCACCTGCAGTTGTGTGCTAGTGTAGGTGGGGCTGCTGTGAGCACCATTGTACACGTCTCAGTGAACACGGGTGCTTTTGGGTATACGCCGAGCAGTGGGTCGTGCGCTGTTCTGCGAGTCGCTGCCCAGTGCTTCTGCAGGGTACTTTATCAGGGCAGTTTTTGCCTTTAGCCTGAGGAAGACTGGGGGCCACGTAAGGACATTTACATTTTACCCTGGCAACCCCTGTGTCAGAGGCACTGAAGGGGAGAGAGACTGTACATGGTGAGACCAGTAAGAAGCAAGCTGGGTTGATGAGCCCCTGAGCCCAGGCAACAGGCTTGGAGGAAGGGGATGGTTTTGAGAGGGATGGTGGGAAGATAGAACTGGTTGGACTGCCCTGATGGGGTGGAAAGGGAAGAGACTGGGGTCCGGGGCAAAGGTTAGGTCTCTGATATGGTGCTGGCAGAACGGAGGTGCACTTCTCTCGAGGAGAGTAGAGGCGAGCTCCAGCAAGAAGATGGGCTCCAGCTGGAACAGCTGAGTCGGCGGGAGCCACTGGGAATCAAGGTAGTGACCCGCCGGCCATCTGACGCGTACGTGGAACTGAAGCTGGCGGGTGGATCCGGACCGGAGGTGTGTAGTTTGGCATCCAGGGAGTGGGTATAAAAGAGGATACCAACAAGGTGATGGAGAAGGAATTTCCTGAGAGCTAGGAGGAAAACCAGGAGCTTGCCTGCTGTGCTGGCAGCCCGGGGAAGGGGGCTTCTCACATGCAGGAAGTAGTCAGCACCCCAGAGGCCACTGAGGGGTCGTGAAGGGTGGGTGCTGAGTGTGCCTGGCAATGCGGTTTCACTCGGTCACCGGCCATGTCCAGGATCCCCGCAGGCTCAGCGGCTGGGCAGCCTCCCGCTCACACCTGGTTCACAACCTGTCATCCTGGAGGGAGAGGGGAGAGAGAGGGAGAGGGAGAGAGAGAGAGAGAGAGAGGAAGTGCCAGCTTCAGTCCAGGAGCAGGCTCTCTCGAGAAGCCCGGGACTCAGCTGTACAACAGAGAGCAGCCAGCACAGGCCCAGCCCAGCGGCTCCCGGCACAGAACGCGTGCACCTCTGCACCCAGCTCTGCCCCGGCGCCTTCCTCCCACGGAAATCCCGCTGCAAACCACATCCACATTACCCTCACGTCTCAGAGAGGTTGCCCAGGACTCTGGAAGCCAACCAGCCGAAAGCACGTTCCAAAACGCACTCAGAACACTTCTTGAGATCTGGGTCAGTGGTGAACGTTGCCAGAAAGTATGACAAAAACTGACCCTCATGGGCGGCCCCTCCTCCCCCCAAAACCCCACCAAGTCTTATTATCGGTGCTCTTACTGATATACATTTGGGGGAACCAGTGAAAGGAATGGAGAACCCATGACTGGCTTCTCGGCACAGGGGGGCGAGGGGGCTCCTTCAGAGTTTAATGGGCAGCTTTCTGTATCTCTCCGCTTTGACTGGAACCGCCGAGGTCTGTGCCACACAATGGGCAGTTTCAAGCTGGATTTTAAAAGAAATAACTTTGATCGTTTCAAGAGCAATGAAGCCTGATGCAGCAGAGAGAAAAGAAGGCGGTAATTTATGGCCACCATTAGGGACACAGGGACAAAGGCGGAGAGGACGAGAGGACGTTTCACTAAGTGAAGATTTACAAATGGGCGAAATGCACCCCGATGACGAGAAATAGCTGAGTGCTTCTCCCGGCACCCAACAAAAGGGGGTGGGCGGGAGGGGCAGAAGCCAGAAAGGGAAGCAACCTGCCTGCCTTCGCTGGCCGGGAAAAGGTCAAGAGGAAAACAGGCACAGAAAAGTGATTTTCTCAGACTCTCATCTGCAACACCCCAAAGAGGCAGGCTCAGCCATGCCCCCCCCCCAGCCATGTTTGGCAGCTGGAGGCGCTGGCCAGCCTAGGGTGCGGCTGGCTCAGGGTGGTGGCTGGCCCCCAGGAAGACGACTATGTTTTTGTGCACAAGCTAGTTTTGTGACATTCATTTTTTCCTGACAAGAGACAGAGAATTTCTGGCGGGGCGTGGGGCAGGAGGATATGGAACACATGCCGTGCGGAGAAGCTTCGAGGATGTTGTTTGGTTGCATCTAGACGGGAACTGCACTTGTTCCCAGAGTGGTGCTGTGTGTGACAGGCTGCAGCCATCTGTGCACGGGGAGCCCTTGGCCCCTGGAGCCCTGTCCTGCTGGGAGGACCGGGCCAGCACGGCTGGATTTGCAGCTGGCGTGTAGGAGTTCAAGTGGTCACAGATGCCACCTATGTCCCCCCGGGGCGAGGTTGGGGCTAGCTCTCATTCTTGGTGGCCCACCCTTGACCTCTAGCCACATTTCCCATTACTTTTTAGGCTGCCCCAAAGATACATTCGGCAGGTTTGGAGTGAAGTGAACATCTTCTGTGGTGGCGGCACCCGGCAGTGTGTCAGGGAGGAGCCAGCCTCAGGGTGCCTCACCACGGGATCCGGCGGGGGTGGGGGGCGCCCTCGGCGCGCTGTGACGGGGTCACAGCAGCTGCGAGGGCCGCATGAGGACTGAGTGCGCAGAGTGTGTGTTGCGGCCAGACAAGGTTCGGGGATCTCTCTCTCTCTCTCTCCTCCACGACCACCCTCCCGGGAGCCCCAAGATGGCGTTGGGGTTCATGGGCTTACAGGACACTTTCTGGGGGCCCCTGTGCCCCATCGTTCCCGGCCGGAAGGGCTGTGGGTCCTCACACTCGGGGCTGGGTCAAGTTAGAGGCCACGGCGAGCAGGCGGACTCCGGAGCCTGAGCCCTGCGCCCGGCGAGGTGTGGGGCGGCGGGTGTGGCGCGGGGGCTGCGCAGGGCGCGGGCTGGACGCGGGGCACGGCCCGCCCCGCGGGGCTGACAGCGCCCTCGGGCCCAGCGGCCGCGCCCTCCGCCCAGCCTGGGAGGGGCGCGGGAGGGGGCCGAGAGGGGCGGCACTGCCCTCCGCGCCGCCCGCCCCGGCCCGGGGAGGACCGTGTGAAAATGAGGCCGGGGCTCCGGGGGCGGGCGGGGCCGGGCCGGGGGTGTCGGAGCGCGGCGGGCAGGGCGCCCGCACACCTCCCCGAGCCGCCGCCGCGCTCGCTGCCCGCACTCTGCCGCCGCCGCCGCCTCCGCGCCTGCCATGGGGGTCGCGGGCCGCGGCTGTCCGGGGCCCGCCCGGGCGCTGCTGCCGCTGCTGCTACCGCTGCTGCTGGCGGCCGCCGTCCCGCCCCGCCGGGGCCGCTCCGCGGGGCCGCCAGAGGGTGAGTGTCCGGCCCGGGGCGCACCTGGCGCGGCTCTGCGGTGCAGGGAAGGGGGTCCTGCGTCCGCTCGGTGTGGCCCCCGCGCCCTCGGAGCCCTCGCCCCCGCCGGCCAGGCCGAGGCGCCGCCACCGCTTGGGCCCGAGGCGCAGGGCCTGAGTCCCGCAGCCTGGCCTCGGACCCGGGCGGTTGACAGTTCCCGCCCCGGCCCCGCCTGCCCGTCCCGGTGTCCCGGGCTGAGCAGAGGTCGGCGGGGGGACCGAGGGCCTGGCGGGCGCTCCGCCTGAGGCCCCGCAGCTGCGCTCCTCGTTCCCCCGGGGCCGGGAAGTTTCTCCCGCGGGCTTCGCGGTCGGCCCCAGGGCTTCGCGATCCGCGGAGCGCGCGCAGCGGCCGTCTGAGGGTCTGGGAATGCCCGAGGCCGCCCGCGGTCTCCGGGTTCCGACTCGCACACACCCTGGAGTGGTGTCAGCCCGGGAATCCTAATGCCAAGGGAGGGTTTCCAGGTTGAGAGGAGGGGTAGGCGGGGAGGGGGGGACCGTTCCCCCCGGAGCCTGGGGCCGGCTCTCCCTACCCTTGGGCCCTGGGAAGGCTGGCCGCTGCTGGCTTTGCGGAGCGTTTGCTCCCGTTAGCGGGCTTTCACACGGCTCCTCGTGCGCGGGGTCGCGCTCGCTTGGCGTCAGGGTCTGACTCAGTCTGCTGTCAAGACTCTGCCAGGTAGGAAAATAAGGCGAAAGCCCTGTGTGGTAAGTGCCCTGAGAGGGGGACTTCCTCCCTGTGCTGGAGGTCCTGGCAGGCTTCCTGGAGGAGGTAGACTAGAGCTGAGTCTGGAAGGCCAGTAGGTGATGGTGGGGGGAAGGCCTGAAAGTGGTATGGGTCAGCCTAGGGCTCTGTGTGAGGTGTGAAGTGCGGTGGGAGGGTGGGAGACAGGGCTGGGGAGGGCCGGAGGGCAGCTTGCGCAAGGCGTGGGGCACCATTCCGGGGCTTGCTGTGTTCCCTTGCAGATGTGGATGAGTGTGCCCAAGGGCTGGATGACTGCCATGCGGACGCCCTGTGCCAGAACACACCCACCTCCTACAAGTGCTCCTGCAAGCCTGGCTACCAAGGGGAGGGTCGGCAGTGCCAGGGTGAGTGACGTGGGGACCAGGGTGGGTGGGCCGCAGGGCACATTCTACCTCCTTAGCTCTTTTATTTGAGATTTATTTATTTGTTTGATACAGAGAAGAGGGTGAGGGAGAGAGCCAGAGAGAAAGATCTTCCATCTGCTGGTTCACTCCCCAGATGGTGACAACTGCCAGGGCTGGGTCAGGCCAGAGCCAGGAGCCCAGAATTGCGTCTCGGTCTTGGGCCATCTTTGGCTGCTTCCCCAGCTGCATCAGCAGGGAGCTGGGTTGGGAGTGGAGCAGCTTGGACCTGAACCAGCACTCATATAGGATGCTGGCGTCCCAGGCGGCGGCGTAACCCGCTGTGCCGCAGTGCCATCCCTGCTCCTTAGCTTTGGTTGGCAAAAGTGCCACTCGTGTTGGTGACAGTGCTGCCCTCCTGCCGAATCCCATCGCTTACTCTCTAAAATGCGTTTCAGGTCCTTAAAGCCGGCCGTGCTTTCTCGTCTGGCCGGGAAATGTCCTTTGTTGTGCTTCTGGAGGAGAGAGGTGTGCAAGTCTTTGGTCCCATTGGTTTGGGGCAGAAAGTAAATAGCCACGTGTTCAGGAGAGTCCTGCAAGCGGGAGCAGCGCTGATGCTGGCCTCCCTGGGCAGTGCGCACTCTCCCCTGGGCCGGCTGCTCTCCGGCCCCTTCCTGGCTTCAGGCTGCTTGGCATTGGGATGTGCAAAGCTTTAGGGCTACACCAAGGGCTTGCCTCATTTGAGCTGGGTGTTTACACTGGAAAGATGTGGGCGAAGGGGGTATTTTAGCCCTCAGGGCTCCCTATCTGGGAGTCCAAAGCGTGGACTCCACCCAGTGGCATGAACACTGGCGTTCAGAACTAGCCAGAGACTGGGCACGCACAGGGGGAGGCTGAACCGGGGAATGAAAATCGTGGCACCTGGTGCGAGTGCGGCTCGTCCGGGAATGCTGAGCCATCCTGCCACTCGTGGTACAGATGGCGGCACTGAGGCCCAGGGCACTTGGGACACCACAGTTGCAGTGAGCCTGCAGGTTGAGGAAGTCAGGTCTCCCCCTCCCCCCCACCCCCCGGCTCTGTTCTACCCCCTCGTCTCTCAGTCTCTTGGTGTCTATCTTTGGTTGGGTGAGAACTCCTACTATTTGTAGTTACCCAGTGCAGGAAGAAGCTTCTAGCTGATGGAGTGTGTTGAATTCATCTCTGTGACTGCCTCCTTGCCTCTGCACCTGACCTGCACAAGCGTGCTGGTGGCTCCTGTGGCTTGAGAGGTTTGTAGCTCTGTAGCTTGGGCTCAACCATGAAGGGAACCGATCTGAAAATAGGCAGGACCCAAACCCACCTAGTGAGCAACCAAATTCCTTCCAGACACTTGGACTAGCACATTAGCCTTTTTAGATTAGGAGGAGCATTTTTAATAAATACTTGGTTTGTTGCCACTTAATGACCTAGTCTTGAAACCCATCTGTTTTATCTTGTGGCTTCTGAGTAATAAAGATTCTTGGTATTGGAAGAGTGTATGCTATCCAGTGGTGCCTGGTATGTGGTAGTCACTCAAACATTCTTTTAATTTCATTTTTTAAAACTTATTTTTGTTTTAAAAGCAGAGAGAGAGAGAGAGAGAGAGAGAGAGAGAAATCTTCCATCTGCTATTTCACTCCCCAGATGCCTGCAACAGCCAAGGCTGGCTCAGATTGGGTCAGCCTGAAACGAAGTGCCGGGAACTCGGTCTGGATCTCCCACTTCGGTGGAAGGGACCCAAATACTTGAGCCACTGCCTGCTGCCCTCCAGGGTCTGCATTAGCGTGCAGCTGCATTGGAAGTGGAGCCCGGATGTGAGCCCAGGCACTCCAGTATGGGCTGTGTAATACCAAATGTCTGCTCGCATTCTTGCTTTTTAATAAATCACTATGAAAGATAGACTCAATCACTGGCACCCTGATACAAGATCTTTACCCACAGATGAAATATCTAGATACGAAATGTGTAGATGACCAGATAGGTGGGTGCCTGTCAGATGCCTTTGTACTCTCGAGCAATGACCAGTCCTCTTCTTAGTACAGCTGAAACAAGCTGGGATTTTAAAAATTACTTGTTGAGTTAGTTAGTTAGAGAAGATGGCACTATTTTCTATCTTCTGGTTCACTCTCCAGATGCTCCCAATGGCTGGGATTGGGTCAATCAAAGGCTGAGGCGGGGGATCCAATCCAGGTCTTCCCTAGAGAGTAACGGTGTCCCTGTTAGGTTTGGATTTCTTGATAGGGGAGTTCAGAAACGGCCATTGGTGGCAGGGACTTAACTACTTGAGCCATCTTCTGTTGCCTCCTGGGTCTGATGATCAGGAAGCTGGAATTGGGAGCAGAGCTGGGAATTAAACCCACGTGTTCTGATGTGGTTTGTGGGCATCCTAAGTGCTTAGCCAAACACCCGCCCCACACTGGGATTTTTGAGTCTCACTTTGCTGAAAAGGAAAGGAGACCAAAAGACAATGTAGATAGCAAATTTGGCTAACAGATGGGATTCTAACAGGCGAGTCTGTGTCTGGTGATACCCTTGGGAAGTCATTCCAGAAGCTCTCCTATGTGTGTGGACAGCAGAGCCCCTGCCTGTCCTGTCCAAGGAGGTGCGCTCCCCGGCAGGTTCACAGCAGGCGGGCTTGGTGGTCCCTTCTGAAGACTGTGTCTCTCTGGGTTTATACTTGCCCAGAGACAGTGTTCTCTTGCTCTTGCTTGCTAGCCATCCCCCCTCCCCCATGTCACGGGAATCCAGAAAGTTCCCTCTTCTAGAATGATGTATTCCTGTGTCTCTTTGCTGATCCCTCCATGCAGGCTCTCTGGAGTATGGGGGCTCACACACGTGGGTAGTCTGCTTGGGGGGGTGCTCACTTCTTCCCCATCTGAGTGTTCTCTGTTCTCCAGTTGCTGTGCACTCCCAAAGGGCACAAATCACATACTGGATTCTTAAAGTATATCTTTAGTCAATGTTGTTGAATGATAAGTGCCAAGAGTTTCCTTACTCGTTTTTGGGTTTGATGTACTACAAATGGAAATTAATTGCTATCAGTTTATAGGTGAAAACCATCTACTATTTAGTTTAATTACTTATTTATTTTTAGGATTTATTTATTTATTTGAAACTCAGAGTTACACAGGGAGAGAAGGAGAGACAGAGAGAGAGAGAGAGAGAGAGAGAGAGAGAGGTCTTCCATCCGCTAGTTCACTCCCTGACTGGCTGCAATGGCTGGAGCTAAGCTGATCCAAAGCCAGGAGCCAGAAGCTTCTTCCACGTCTTCCACATGAGTGCAGGGGCCCAAATCTTGAGGCATCTTCTACTGCTTTCCCAGACCATAGCAGAGAGCTGAATCAGAAGTGGAGCAGCCGGGACTTGAACTGGCGCCCATATGGGATGCTGGCACTGCAGGCCACAGCTTTACCCACTATGCAACAGTGCTGGCCCCAGTTTAATTTT